CAGGGCCAGCTTGGGGGCCTCGATGCGGAGCTGCCCGTCCTTCGACAGGGAGCAGGTCAGCGCCTCGGCGTCCACCTCCTCGGGCACGTCCCACTCCCGCTTCAGCACCTCGTACTTGTAGGAGAAGGAGCCCTTCTCATCCGTGCTCTGCGTCTCCTTCTGCCCCACCAGCACCACCTTCCTGCCCACCACCTTCACCGACAGCTGCTCGGGCGCAAAGTCCTTCACGTCCTGGCAGACGGAGAAGCCGTCCCCGGAGCTCTGGGTCAGGGCTGCGCTGGTGCTCGGGGCGATGCTGACCCGCCCGGGGCTGCTCCCAGTGCTCAGGTACTGCTCGACGCTGCTCATGAACTCCCGAGCCCTTTCCATCTCCAGCCGCATCTCCCGCTCCAGCTCGGCGAAGAGGGTGCCTGGATGAGGCCAAAGGGTGCGGACGGGTCCCAGCCACGGGAACAGCGAGCTGGACATGGGTGGCATGAAGTGCAGGCGGCAAAGCATCTCTGCTCCCGGCAAACGCTCCGGCTGTGCTGTGTCTCTGCTCGGTGCAGCGGCTGTAGCGGTGCTGGGTTGGGGCCAGGGAGCAGCGGGTTTTATGCTCCCCTGCCCAGGGGTGTGCCCCTTCCAGAACGCTCTCTCCCCACGCACCCTCCTGGAGCCATCGCCTATTTTTGAGAGGCTGATTATCCACCAGCCAAAATAGCTGTGCCTGTTTCTGGGGACGAGTCACACGCCGCAAATAGGGAGCTGCAATCACCACTGGGAGCTCGGGTTTCTGCAGAGCCACCGTGATGCAGCAGCGCCCATGGGCCCCCAGAGCCCTTCCCTGGCCCCCATGCTGGGGGCTTGGTGGGGTCAGGCTTTGCAGTGCCAGGAGCACATCCCTTTGGCCAGTACAGGGACAATCCCACCTCTAAAACAACGTGTCCCTTGTCACCCTCTGCCAGACATCTCTCACACTTTCTGGGACCCCCCGTCCTGTCCTGTCACAACCCCTCAGCACCCCACTGTGCACCCTGGCTCCTGGTCTCACCTGGGGGGACCTCCCTGAGCACTGAGGGTCCTGCAAACAGGGAAGGGGGCAGAGGGGCTCTCCTGGCTGCAGATGGGGGAAATGGGCCCCAGGTAAGGGTGGGAGGAAACAAGCCCGGCCCTGCTCCCTGCCTGGGAAATGGAAAGGGCACAGATTTTTGGCAGGGGTGGCTCAGGCATCCCACACAGAGGCTGAGGTGATGCTGCTAATTATAAGCCAGGAGAGCAGAGGTGCAAGAGTCAGGGCGAAGGTATGCCGGGCACGACGTCAGCAGCGCCTCTCCTCACGGGTGAGTAACAAGAATGAGCTGGAACGGGCTGGAAAGAGCTGAGCTCTTCTCCCGAAGGTGACGTAATTTTCGGGACGAGGCCACGCCTCCAGCGAACGGGAATAAAAGGCTCCGCCGGCAGCAGCGGGGCAGAACGCTTCCAGCCCACTGGAGAGGGGAAAGAAGCAGCAGCAACAGCAGCAACAACAGCAACAACAGCAGCAGCAGCGATGCTTTGCCGGATGCACCTCGCACCATTCGCCTCCAGCTCCTTGGCCAGCCGTCTGGGCACGGTGAGGACCCTCTGGCCACACGCAGAGACCATCTTCACTGAGCTGCAGCAGGAGATGGAGAAAGCTCGGGAGTTCATGAGCAGCTTCGAGCAGCTTCTGAGCAACCACGGAGCCATCGCAGCGGAGCGCGCCCCGAGCACCAGCACGACCCTGGCCCAGTGCTCCGGGGACGGCTTCTCCGTCTGCCAGGACGTGAAGAACTTCGCTCCCGAGCAGCTGTCGGTGAAGGTGGTGGGCAGGAAGGTGGTGCTGGTGGGGCAGAAGGAGACGCAGAACGTCGACGAGAAGGGCTCCTTCTCCTACAAGTACGAGGTGCTGAAGCGGGAGTGGGACGTGCCCGAGGAGGTGGACGCCGAGGCGCTGACCTGCTCCCTGTCAAAGGACGGGCAGCTCCGCATCGAGGCCCCCAAGCTGGCCCTGACGGCTGCTCCGGAGAGGAATGTGCCCATCCAGGTCAGCCCTGCAGCCCCACAGCCTGGACCAGCCTCTGAGGACGGAGCTGCAAGCAAAGCCCAGGTGTAACTGGATGGGACCCCATGGCCACGGCAGGACCGGAGCAGACAGGAGCAAGTCTTGGGTTTAAGCCCAGACAAGCTCCATCAGCAGTGATGTCATTTTTTTCACTATACTGGAATGTTTTTGTATCCAATAAAAATACTTTTGCATAGAACCTTCATGTACTCTCTGGGTGTTGATTGACGGGGAGGCTGCGCCCTGCTCTTGCCTCTGGAGCTGTATGCACAGAGAGGGAAAAACGTCTCGCTTCTCAGGGCAGCACAAAACGGGGTCGACAGCAGCCCCAGAGGGAGGGAAGGGATCTGGGAGCTCTGGGCTGCTTGGGGAGAGGGGTAGGCAGGAAGGTCCCAGGCACAGAGGCAGCCCCACTCACCTGTACCACACTCACCCCTTCCCTTACACTGCTGTCAGCATCCACTCCAGCTCCCCAGCCCTGGCCAGTGCCACAGAATGGTGAGAGAACCACCCTGGATGGCCCAGCTGGGTGTGGGTACAGCTATTGTACCCACACTTTCCCCCCACAGCTTGGTGAGGGGCTGCTGGAGGCCCCCTGAGCTCTGAGCAGCAGGGAGGGAAAAGCCCAACCCCAGGCAGTGTGAGTAAGCACCACAAACGCCTGCGCTCAGGCCCGGGCAGGCAGCAGGTATGTGGGGCAGGCACACCTGTTTATGCTAAAGCTGCTCCCACAACAGACAGCCCATTCCAGAGACACACCAGGAACAGCAGTGGGTCCCCAGCCCCAGTACTGAGCCCCTGCTCCTGCAGCAGTGAGACCCTCCTTAGGGCACTGCCAGTATCTTCACAGAGACTAGACCCCAAGTCCTGGAAGAAGCCAGGAAGAGGAGCCAGCAGATGGCAACAGCATTGCAGTGTCTGTAGGATTGTTCCAAGTGGGATCAGGAAAGCCATTCTCCTACAGGTCCAACTGTGGCTGCCTGGGGAAACCAGTAGCATTAGTCCCCCCTCAATCTGTAAGCACCAAGAGCTCAGGGATCCCCCAGAGTTTGTGAGCTCCTCCAGCAGCTGAGCAGCCCAGGCACAAGCAGCACCAGGTGAGTGAACCCCACTGGGGGGCCATCAGAGCCCCCATCCTGCAGGCAGCCAGACTCCAGCATGAGTCCCTCAGTCACCAAGTCATTCCAAACCCTTCCTGCTTCCAGGATTTTAAAGAAATGCAGCATGAGGAAGAGGCACCGAGACCTTGGATAGAGGATGAAGCCCACATGAGCCAGGGCTGTTCACACAACTCTATTCACAGCTCTCCTGCAGCTGAGCAGCAGCAACCCCACAGCTGAGAAAGGGAGGGGCAGCAGGTTCCAGGTGCAGCACATCTCCATCCTCAGCCTCTCCCAGCAGGAATGGTGCAGCACACGTGGCAGGGGTGGAGCTGCAGGGGGCTGCACCATCTTCCATATTGACTCCAGGTCAGTGGGTGTCAGGGTCTCACAGTCCATGCAGCAGCAACAGCAGAGCAGCATCTTCCAAGGCCATAACACTCCGGGGACAGAGGCATTGTGTTCATTAATTCTGGAGCAGCATTCCCAAGCCTGTTCCACCATGGAGCTGAGCTTCTCCACACACTGCTCCCCCTACCTCTTCACAACTTGCACTGCAGAATTTCCCCAGAAGTATTAGGCAAGGAATAATTCCCACTATTTGCCTTAAGCTTCCTTGAGCACACTGAAGCTGAGTGAACACCAGCAGCATCACTGTGATCAGGAGCAGCAGCACAGCCCCAGCTCAGGAGCTCCATTTCTCCCTCCCCAGGAAGGAAAGTCCCCATTTCCCTATCAAGATGTGGGACATACCAGGAGCAGCCCAGCACACCTCAGCCTCCAGCAGAACTGTTGTGCTCAGGTCCAGTCCCTGCTGCATTAAGAAACATGAACATTGTTGTTATGGTAGGTTTATAAAAATTTTGTTTTAATCACACAAAACTGAAGTTTGTGGTGAAGACTAAGTTGACAGTTCCTCTTAAATACCAGGATGCATAAGACACTGCATTAGGCACTAGGCAGCAGCCAACATCAGTTAGTCTGGCAACAGAAGCCATTTAATACCTCCCTTCATTCTTTGTGGAATTACAGGCTTTTGCAATACACGTCGTTCCCACTGACAGGTTACCCGAGGTTTCCCCCACCCCACCTCTGTACATCAGTAAACCTTGTGTATTCCCACCAGAGCAGGGTTAACAACATTAGTGGCATCACAACCATCAAGAAAAGGACAATTTTCTATACAAGATCTTTTGCAAAAATTGCAACAGGATTAGTGCATTACGACAGAACAGAGAGAAAAGAAGAGTTGGCATGCTGGAGTCCAACACAAAGAAAGACAACAGGCAGCTCGTTGGATGTACTATATTGACAAGATACTGATTGGTTACATGGAGAAACATACAATACAAAATACAGAAGAAACCAGTTTTGCTTCCCTCTGCCCCACCCCGAATACTCATCACTGATTTGGTCAATAAGTGGCCCAAGAGCCGGAGTTTGTCTCTAATGCTACAGTTTAGTGGTTGTTCTGGGCACATCGTACGGGATCAGCCTCAGCTCTTACAGACAGGGAACTTTAAACACGTGTCCCAATATCCCTTTGTTTCCCATAGTGAACTACAGTGCTGTGGGACCTGGGTGCTGCTGGCCTCACCCGCGGGACGGCCGTGCTGGCTGGGCAGACACCGGGTCCTGCATCCACCACCACCAGGAAGAGGGAAGAGCAGAAGTTCATATATTAAAAAAGTGACTTAAGACTTAGAATTGAATTAGTATTTGTACAGAAAGGTGCAGGTGGAAGAACTCCCTCCAGCCTATGATCAGAAAGGGATGGAGAATCACAGCGGCGCCGGCAGCGGCCGCCCTACGGTAAGTGCGATCGTTAGCGTGGGTTCCAGTCACGTCCTCTGAGGGCTCGCGGGCCGGAGCAGCTGCTCAGTTGCTGCAGCACTGGCTCCTGCTCGGCTGGCTGCTCTCCTGAAGGTCCACCACCCGATTCCTGCCTGGGCCACCAGGAGCATTCTGGGGTTCATTTTTTGGCAGTTTCTTGGCTAGAAGGAAGCAGGACATTAGTAGGGTCCTCTACGGAGGCCAACCGCCTCCCACTGCACCTCCCAGGCTGGGCTCTGCCTGTTCCATCCCAAGTCCCCACCTCCAAAGGTGTCTGGGACACGACACTGCCAGCAGCACTGCACGGCAAACCAGCCCACTCCTGATTCTGGCTGGCATCAGCTCTGCTCCCTCCTCTCTCACCAGCCCAGACCAGAGAGAGAGACCCAGTTTTGCAAGGCAAAGACTCCACACACTCAGAGAGTGACACCAGTGTGGTAAACTGGACATCTTCCCCAGTAAGAGGCACCAGCCCCTGGGTGACACAGGACCCCCCCCTGAGCTGCACTGCTGGCACTCAGAGCTACCCCAGCCCTGCACACAGGCCATTACCTATTGCCATGAAGATTTCATTCACATTCATCGCTGTCTTTGCCGACGTCTCCATGAACAGCAAGCTGTTGTCATCTGCATACGTCTGTGCATCCTACAAACAATCACATCAGAGTGCTAAAGGCACCCTGCCAGGAAACCCAAGCAGGCTTCAAGCACTTCAGTTGCCAGCAAACTAACAGCCAGATTAACACTGTCCCACCCCAGGCCAGAGACTGCCACCCCAGTCCCTGTCTGGCCAGGACAGTTCAGGGACAGATTCTGCTGGCAGCCCTGCACAGCCAAGCTGGGGCACAGCCTGACTGAGCCCCATGTAGACACAGTGCCTGGTGTTCGCTCAGCTGGGAGGATGTCACCCACTGCAAGGGCACAAGCAATCTTGTAAGAGGGCTGGGAAGAACCTCTCCTGAACACATGGCTTAGATGAGGTAAGAGCTGTGAAGAGCATAGAACAAGCTGGGAATGATTCCTCATGTGTCTTGTACCCCACACCCTGCAGACAGCCCCAGATGAGTAAGGCAGTAAAGGACACCAAGGACAGGAGCTTGTGCTCTGTGGGCTGCCTCCTCCTCCACATTCACCAGAACTGTCACCAGCCAGAGCCACACGTGCTGTGACAGAAGTGTGGGAAGGGCAGGGCACAGCCCCCACTCAGGGGCATCCTGGGGTCCTGAGCACAAATCTTCACCTCCACTCTCCCTCAAAGCATTTCACACAGAGCCAACATCTCCCCTACTTAAGCAAAAAGCTGCTTTTGTGACCTACTCAGGTAACAAGTGCTCTGGATTCCCACTCACCTGGAAGTCCACAGCTCTCTTGGTAGCAAGGTCTGCCTTGTTTCCTGCTAGTGCAATTACAATATTGGGGCTAGCCTGCCTCTGCAACTCTTTCACCCAATTCTTGGCTCGTACAAATGTGTCCTGGAAGCAAACAGGAGGCAGCAGTCAGGAAGGGCAGCCATGTAGGAATCCACAGGGCAGATATGATTAGAACAAGGCTTTCCTGTGAGAAGTGTTCTGCCTCTGCAGCACTTGGCAGCAGGATCCTTTATCAGCTCACACAGCCTTGGCCAGAGCTGAGGAAGAGGCCATGAGCAGTTTTCAAGAACTCAGCACCTGCAGGCAGGAACCTGCAGGGCTCTGGCTCAAACACTCCCAGAGCTCCAGGAGCCTCCCCCCAGCCCAGGCCCCCAGCCCTGCCCACACTCACTGTGTTTGTGATGTCGTAGACCACGATGGCTGCCTGGGCCCCCCGGTAGTACATGGGGGCCAGGCTGTGGTACCGCTCCTGCCCTGCCGTGTCCCAGATCTCAAACTTCACCGTTGTGTCATCCAGACACACTGTCTGTGTTAGGAAGGCAGCTGCAAGAGAAGGTGGAGGCTTTTGCCTCAGCTCCAGCAGGACAGGCCCCAGAGCCAGCGCCGGGAGCTCAGAGCAGCTCTGCTGCTGCGTGGGAGCGAGCAGAGCCCTGGAGAGGTCAGTGCCACTCGCTGTGGCAGCTGTAGCTCTGCTGTGTGACACTTCCTGCTCACAGGAACCCAAGGGCCCCCACACAGTGACAGGAAGGTGGCCCAGAGAGCCCAGACAGCAGCCAGCCCCCGGAGCAGCTGCAGGGCCAGACCCTCCCAGCAGCCCCTCACAGGGATCACACAGCCCGGCTGTGGCATCACCACAATCAGAGCTGGGGAGCACCAGTGACAGCACCAAACTCAGCCCAGTTACACCACACTCCCCCAGTTTAGCAACTGGTTGTTTTCTTGTTCCAGCAAGTCTAACACCAGGCGTTACACCCAGGGCAAATGCACCGGCCTTGGATACAGACTGAGGCAGAGCAGCAGCATCCACACAACCCTCCACAGTGGAGCATTAAGCCCTGCTTACCCATAAGCCACACTCAGAGCTGTGCTTACTCCCTGCATGGGTCATAGAGGGAAAACTCAAGCCTTTCCTCAGGACACCCCTCCCAGTATTGCTGCTCACAGACCCAGGCGCCAACCAGCCTTTGATTGGTGACACTGTGCTAATGATTTCAAGCTAAAGAACTACTAGACCTGAAAGCACTGTGGAAGTAGTTAACAGTATCATGCTACAAAGAGCCCCGAAATCCCAGGTCATGGTCTGAAAAGATAATTAAGGGCTATAAACCAAGCTGAAGGCCTCGGTTCTAATTAGAAGCAGGAATTGAGGCACTGGAAGCAAAGCCTCAGAGGCAGAGTGCAAGGTTGCCATAGCATTATTCTGTGCTGTGCTGAACCTCATACCAACAAACTGCAAACCAAGAGTTAAAGCATTAACTGTTAGGTTCTATTTATAGCAAAAATCCCAGACCAGACTGAAATAGTCACTCTTGCTTCTGACACCCCAGCCTGCCCCAGCAAGGTCAGCACCTCCCAGCCACAGGCATGTGGAGCTGGCACTCACCTCCGATCGTGCTCTCCTGGTACTCGTGGAACTGCCCCTTCACGAAGCGCAGGACCAGGCTGGACTTCCCCACCGCCGACTCGCCCAAGAGAACAAGTTTAAACTGGCAGATTTTGTTCCCAGCAGCTGGTCCATTCGGTCGGGCAGCCCCACCTCGACCTGCCATTGTGGCTTAAGTGCAGGAGTGCTGAGAGTTAAGGATGCTGCAGGTTCTGCACTGGGATCCACCTGGAGGCAGGTTGCAACTGGAAGAGGAGGTCAGAGTTAGTGACACGCTCAGGGACCAGCTGTACCAGTTCTAGAGGGTGGTTTGATCTGCAGCCACCATCAACACAAGCCAGTGGTGGCTCCTTCCCATGATGGAAAGTTATCAGCTGCAAGCACCACAGGGCAGTTCCTGCCAGGCAGCAGCTCCTGCAGCAGGATCTCAGCCTGCTGAGCATCCCCAGAGAGGTAACACAAGCTCTCCTCCCCACCACTGGGCCCTCCAGCACTTCCACCACATGTGGATGTTACACACACCTTGCTGGGTAAGGAGCAGCCAGCACACAATGGGTGTTATTAGAGCTTCATCTATTCAAACAACAATTAGTTCATGGAGGTAACTGAGGTTGACCTTTAGTTCCTTCCTCCCCTCTTGAGTTCACAAGGAAGCAACTTCAGACTATCAATGCCATACAGAACCATCCCAGTGTCACTCTGGCAGGAGGCAGTTCCACAGGTCACAAGGCATTTGAACAAAGGGAGTTTCTAGAGTTGTCTGTTCGGCCCACGGCACTTGCACCACAACATTCTGCACCTCCCAGCAGGCCTGAGGACAGCCCTGGAGCCAGGCAGGTGGGTCTGCACAGGGAGGGAGGGCACCTGGCAGCAGGGACTGTCCCCTCAGAGGCTGTCAGCAGCCCCTCCCCACACCAGGAATCACCACCCAACCTAATCCAAACAGGCAGCACCTAATGCTTCCCACACCCATCCCACTGCCTCAACGCCCTCATCCCACAGCATTCCAGGTCGTCAGGCTACTGGCCACATTCTTCACAAGAACTGTTCAAATCCAGCACAAACAGGCAGCATCCCCTGGGATTGGCACTGCCATCCACTCCCCAGCACCAACTTCTGGAGAGGTGCAGAGGCACAGAGCCATGGCAGGAACAGCAGGACAAGCTGGTTTGCACCCACGAGTGAGTCCCAGGGCCTCCCTAAGCACTGAGCTCTGCTGCCTGCAGAGAACAGGAATGCTTTCCAAGTGCACAGTTACGGATTTAGGCGTACTTCCTGTACCCATCACGACTCCCACTTCCCGTGGATGATAAATGCTACAGCTGATCACATCCGCTCTGGATCACCACTTTCCACTCTACTCTCCTAACCCAGGCTGCTTGCTGAGAGACAACGGCAAGAAAATGCCCCAAAAGCAAATTTCTCCTTGCTCTGGGAGTATCCATGAAGAAACTCTGGGCACATCCTGCATTTACCCAGCAAATATCAGATTTCCATGAATAAGAAGTTTAAAGCAGGTTGAACTGGAGCAGAGTGTCCTCTGAACAGGACACTCAGGCCTGCTCAGCACAGAGGAGAGTTTCAAACAGCTGCTTTCCAGGGCAATACCTGTCCAGCTGTGATTGCTTGAGGCTACTTTAACCATGCCTCGAGTTTAAACAATCCCACAGTTTGATAGGGAACCTCCAGCCATTTCAGAGCTCCTCTGGAGGGACAGTCCATGAGCACCAGTAGCTGGAGAACCTCAGCAGCTTTGAAACACAAAGCACTTGAGCGTGCTCTGACCTAAAGACATTCCACCTCAAACTGCTCTGACCAGGAGGCAGTCACACACCTGCTGTTAAGCTGGTACCGGTCACAGGAGTTGGCAGGTAGGACAGAAACCCCAAGGAGTAACTTCCAAGTGCCATGAGATGTTTCAGGAGCCAGAGCTGTGAAGCTGTTGCTCTGAGTGGCCTGTCCAGTCTTGGATCAGCAAAAAAATTGCACTGTCAGGACCCCCCTCCCTCTTCCAAGGAAGGACAAACACTGTTTGACAGGATGAGAAAGCTTGATAGGAAGCAAATCAGCAACTGGCTTTGCTGGGCAGTGAGGGAACAGCATTTGCAGCTCTGGCCAGAAGCAGCTTGGGTCACCATGAGGTCTGAGAAGCTCAGCAGCAGCTCTGCATCTACAGGGCCGGAAGAAGCTTCCACCTTTTAGAGCTTCCCCTCTAACCAGAGCTTGCAAGGGAACAGCTTTGCCTTGTTTAACCTCGTATTTGTTCCCAGGCAGTCCACCAGCTCTGCCGCTGCTTCAGACCAACGTTCTGCACACTCAATGCTGTGTGAATCATGTCTCTGAGTTATGGCCTCCTGAAATCTGATACGGGTGATTCCCAGAGCAAAACAAGGAAATGAGCCTGTTGACATCCTCAAGTCTTAGCCTGACCTATATTTCACAGATCTCGATGCATTTTGCCGTCTGTTTGTGCTACATGAACTCCAACAGAATGAGGTGAGCTGGTCACAGAAAGAACCAAATAACTGAAGGAAGTGCCCACCAAAGCCTCAGACAGCAAGCATGCTCCATGGCAGGACGGGCACTTTGGCACTTTCTGCCAATGTCTTCGAGGATTCCTGTCAGACAGAACTTGGCTCTGCAGAGGGAACAGCTGAATTACACAGCCTGGACCTGGGCTAGGTCAGCCCACACCCACCAGTGGACATTGGCTTGAGAAACAGGGAGGGCTTCCTGCTGTACGAAGCCATTGCTGATGCTGGGAAGGGCTGTTCATTCCCCCTCTTCCAGCAGAGAATTGGGCATGCACCCCTCCCTGCTCCCCACAGGAACCCTGACACTCGAGCCGTGGGTCAGGCAGACCAAAATAACCACAGTGATACTGAGCAGACGAGGGAAAGCAGCTGAAGTCCCAGCTTGCAGTGCTAATTCAAGCAGTTGAGACCATGAGAAGGAAGGGCATGGTGGGGTACTCATGTCATCAAGATTAACAGGCATTACTTTTCCTACTAGTTTCTTGTAACTAGCAAAACCCAGCACTTGGAAGGTCACAAGACCCACAAAAAGGCTTGTGCTGGTTTGCTTACCTGCCCTACCCACCTCCTGCTCACTGAAGCGTGTGCAGGAGCTCTAGATCCCACAGTAAAAGCACCAACTTTTTATTGTAAACTCTTAAAACAGTCTTGTTTGCTTCAAGATCAAAGACAAGTTTCAATGCCTGATGCTGCCCCACAAGTGAGAGCTCCAGGTCTATCCCCTCTGCAGTTTGTGCTCCTCCCACACCTCACCTGCCTGCCAGGATTTGCTGGAGAGGCCTGTACATGGATAGGAGTATTAAATTCAAGAATCTGAGTGCCCTAAATGAGAAAGCACATGTCAGGACTGCTGCATTCCCAGCCTGTCCAAGCACAAGGCAGTTCTCCAGAGCTGTCAGGATGCTGGGGGATAGCACCAGAGCTCCTTTCAAACAAACCAGTCAAGGATGGGAATCCCAATCTCCACAGGGGAATTACTGTCAGATCCCCACATTAATCTCTGCAGGAAACCCCACCACAGGGAAGCTGCTCATTTAAGGTGTCAGAAGTTAAAGAATCTAATATTTTTGCCCTGTGTTCACCTAGTAGCAAGGACTGAAAGCTGAGGATATTTAGAAACCAAATCCTGAAGAATCTAGTTACCCAAAGGACTGCTGCTGCTCTCAGCTATGCAAGGAGCTGCTTCGCTATGGATTTGTTGGCTTAGAACCAAAATACTCAAGACAAAAGCCCCAGTGAAGTATTTATCTTGTTAAATAGCTGACAGCGTTACATGAATTCCTTGGCAAAGGAAGCCCTGAAGTTACCCAGTGGTTTTGCTTCACCTCTCACTGCACAGGCAACTGAGCTGCACTGCCCTGCTCCCAGGCTGCAGGATGTGGAGTCAGGAGCAACTTCTGTGAGCAGGACCAGCAACCAGTGTGAGTCCCACCAGAACCACACATGGACCCCATTAGTCCAGGTTAGCACAGCATGGAGTGTCAGCCTGATATTCCAACTCATCAATATGATTAATAAGAACAGATTTCCAGAGCCTGAGTGCAAGAGAGTCCAGGCTGCGAAGGAAGGAGGAACAGACTCAGCTGCTACAGAAGAGATGAACCGGGAAACATACCTGACCTACAGATCTCAATCCCATAAAGTCTGATCAATTTTAATACTTCACCTTTCTACAGACAACATACAATTCCCTCCCTAGAGAACAAACCCTCAGTGTTCTGATCAGCGAGGCCATAGCCTGGAGTTCAGTAACTGCTCTAGCTGGGAAACTGGTCACTGCAGCTGCACTACAGCCCCAAAGTGCAGACTCACAGACCCAAATCAGTTCAGACAGCAGTTTCAGCAGCGCTTCTACAGTTGTGACTAACTTAGGACACTGTAACAACTTCTCTGTGCAGTCCCACATGCTAGACTCCTGAAGACATGGACACGCTCATCTTAGTTTACAGGTAAACGGGATTTCCATTCCAAAGTTAAATTCCTCCTTTCAGGCACTGCCCAACCCATCACTGGTTTCACAGGAAAGCAAATGGACCCTAACTCAACTCTGTTCATGCAAAACTGGACCAGTGTTTTATTTTACTGTATTCATATCCCCATGCCAAGCCAGTCTTCCCCTCATGCTCTCCAGTAACTCAAACCCTTCTCCATGAGTCCATCTCAGCTTGCCTGGGTTGTTCTCTCACCTGAAGGGGCATCAGCACCTACTTACAGAGCCTCGAGGGACTCACACTGCCTGGCACAACCTTAAACCAAACGTCACCTAAATCAACCAGAGCATCTTAGAGGGGAAGGTCACTTCAGAAACAGACTTTTGCTCTGAAGTTCCAGCACACTGTTGTGACTCAAGAGGAGTCTGAGGCAATTTCAGCACTGAGACCCAGTTATGACTCCAAGTGTTGCCGTCCTTGACCTCCCAGGTCCAGCCAGACTCCTGCTTTACCTGCTCTCCTCACTCCAAGAACACATCAGGAACAGCTGCCTACAGACACTGTCCTGAGTTCTTCACCCTATGCAGCCACATTTCTTTCACCTTATTATCCTGGTGAGCCAAAAGGAAATGTAATAGACTTTTAGAGTCAAGGCAGTAGTGGATTTTAACAGGATATTCCAAGGAAGCTCACACAGACAGCGTGGCATGTCAAGCCAACATGGACTGAGTCTGTCTTTTTGGCCCCAGCCAAGCTCAGAGCCAGCTCAGGAGCCCTGACCCAGCGCAGTGCAGGACTGATGTCACGCTGTAAACAGGGCAGCTCAAGTGTGCTGACCCTCCACACAAAAAAAGCTAAGAATAGTAGATTGCAAGTTGTTCCACACCAGACTTAAAATAGTCCCTGGGCATATTCTCCTCCCCGGTTTCCTTACAGGCTTGGGAACAGCCAAGGTCAGAGCTCTCAGGGCAGCACCCAAAGCTCTGGGGGCAGCTGGGCTGGGCTCCCTGCAGGGCCACAGCCCCACTCACGGCTCCTGCCCAGTCCCAGGAGCTGTCAGCACCTTGAGCATCACCAGGAATAGCGTTTGAGCAGCTTTCCTGGGATTTAGCAGCGTAAACCTGTTGCTCACACTCCCAGGTGCCCTCCTGCTGTGCTCCCAGCTCATGTGCTGGAGCCTCTCCCGTTGTGATTCCGTGATCCAGGGATGGCCTTGGCCAGGGTTCCTCTCCAGACAAGCCACAGAACGTCCTTGCAGCCCGTGTGCCTTGCTCAGGGCCCTGCAGCACCACACATTCCCTTCCACCAGGGCCCTCGGGGGGCACAGGGCTGTGCTCGGCACAGCAGTGACCAGGACAGCCTCCACTGGAGCCCAATTCCAGCAGATCAAGTCACATCCCCTATCCCAGCAGTTCCTGGGAACCCTGAGAACTAGTTCCTGGAGTCTCTATTTCCACCTCAGAGGCTGAACAGCTACAACAAGACATGATCCCCCCACGACACTCCTGCCCCAGCAGGCACCCCACCTTCCCCGATTCCCTTGAACTCCCAGTCCCGGCTGTGAGGGACGGGAGCCGGGACGCCGCTCCCAGGCAGGCACAGGGGTCGGGCTGCAGGTGCCGCTCCCGCTGCCCCCCGCGAGCCTTCCCTGCTCACAG